CGATCAATCAATTGTTAGTAAACTTATCTTTTAATATCACTAAAAGCACTACACGTGAGAGAGAGAATTCTCCCACTCAATTGTTAGCAAGCTTACCTAAAACCACTACATATAAGAGAGAAAATTCATGCGCTCAATTGTTAGCCGGTTTATCTTATAACTAAGAAAACTAAATATGAAAAACAAAATTCTTGCGCTCAATTGTTAACCGACTTACCTTATACTACGTACTTAAAAGAACTACATATGAGAGTGAAGGTTCTTCCACTCAATTGTTAGGAAGTTGATCTTCTATTATCTAGATGCACTACATAAGAGAAAGAAAATTACGTTGCTCAATTATTAGCAAACTTATATTCTTATACCTAAAACTACTACATATGAGAGATAAAATTTCTCCCCTCAATTATGAGCCGGCTTATCTTATACTTTGTATCTTATACTTAAAAGAACTACAAATGAGAGAGCAAGTTCTCCCGCTCAATGGTTAGCAAGCTTATCTAATCTAATATCTAAAAGCACTACATATACATATGTATAGAATTGGAATTCTACAATAATAACCAAATTGAAGTATATTTATATTTACTTACATATTATAAAGATATTATTTCAACATGTTGACTTTTTTATGAAATATAATAGATAGTACTATCATCCGTCTATTTTAAATTGCAACATGTTGACGTTTTGCACTGTTCACATGATATACTTTGACTGACTACATTTTACACTATTATTTTATGGAAATTATTTTTAAAAAAAAATATTTTTCAATTCATCTCATTACAAATTTTCAAAATCTGATTTTCAATTTTTTTTATTAATAGAGATTAAGACATGCTTACGGTCAAATGTGTGCGTTGGCAAATGTGCAAAGATTGACTATTGCAACTAAAAAAAGAACGGAGGAAGTATAATACTCCGTACTTATAAGCACTACTGAGAGAGAAAATTATCCCGCTCAATTGTTAGCCGGCTTATCTAATATCACCTAAAAGCACAACATATACATATGTATAGAATTTGAATTCCACAATAATAACCAAATTGAAGTATATTTATATTTTTGAGTCACTTACATATTATAAAGATATTATTTCAACATGTTGTTTTTTAATGAAATATAATAGATAGTATAATACTTAAAAGCACTACTGAGAGAGAAAATTATCCCGCTCAATTGTTAGCCGGCTTATCTAATACCTAAAAGCACTACATATACATATTTATAGAATTGGAATTCCACAATTGTGACCAAATTGAAGTATATTTGTATTTTTGAGTCACTTACATATTATAAAGAAATTATTTCAACATGTTGATTTTTTTAATGAAATGTGATTTTGAAATGAAATCTTTTTGTCGGTTGACCCATAATCTGAATTATGTGTTATCAATTTAAGCTTATTTCTTCCAAAAAATGAAATGTGATTTTGATAATTAGAACCATTTTAGTAACACTGAAATTGGCTAAATCGCTATATTCTTTTGAAATCGATGAAATTCTGACAGAAGTAACTGAATTGGATGAATATATTGATTCATGGATAAATTTAATTTAAATTATATTTTATCAATGAAGTAAAAAAGTATATATGATAAGTAGTTAAAAACGATTATGTACAGTAACATCAGTCAAATTTGTCAAAAATAAAATTTCAATAAAGCTAAACATAAATATATCAAAGCAGTTCAAAACAAACCAAAAATGATACATCAACATTTTCATATTTGCCCATTTTTTCTTAAAAAGAAAGAATAATCATTGTAGGATTGATGGATTCAAATTACTCATTCTCTTCGATTCAGGCCAACTCAAAACTGAACTAAATAGACCAAATCGAAATTTTATTTTATTAGAACTAATTACATTTTCATTTTCGGATTTTTATACATCAAATCAGTGCACTTCAAATCATAAAATACTTTAAGAAAGTTTTATTAAATAAATTTAATATTTTTAGATTTTTCCCTTTCCTGGTCTGATTTTGATTTTAGAGACCGTTTAGTAGTACTGAAATTGGTTGAATTTTTTGAAATGGATGAAATTATGAGAAAAGTGATTGAATTAGTTGAATATATTTATTTATGGATAAAATTAATTTAAGATACTTTTTAATGAAATAAAGAAAAACATTATATGAAAAGTAGCTAAAAATGAACAACTACAATAAGGTCAGCCAAGCCAATTCAGACAGCAAATAAATCAGGAAATGCATATAGATAATATTAAGCATAATTATAGAGACCGTTAATAAATTATATTTTTACATATTTAATATTGATCTCATATGAAAGATCACAAAAAGTTATGGATTTTGATATAACTTTTGTAAAAATTGGAGCAAAAATGAAAAAGTTATATCACTTTAAAAAAAATTGGGATCTTTTTATAGCTTGAGCCCCACCAATGCATATCTATTGGTGCTCCTTTCTCTTCCATCGGAGAATCTTCGTCCATTGAAGTAAAAATAGCCACGGGGCATTGTCATAGCAAAAGAGTGAATTAAGGGGTAAATTCCCATCGTAGAGCCGGCTGTACCGTGCGCTCGGACTTTTAGATCGGAAATCGCAGGGCTCTGGCTTTCATCGCAAATCGCAGGACTCTGGCTTCCATCGCAAATCGCAGGGCGCTGGGCTTCCTCCGCAGATCGTTCTCGTTCTTCGCTCTCCGCCTGCGATGATTCTCGCCAGTCGCAATCTCCAGCAAGAGCGCAACACCGGCTTGAGCGGCGGCTCTTGGGGAGGCTCCTCCTGGTGTATAGCTCTAGTTGCTTCTTCTCCCTCTTTCTTGCTCCAGACTCTTCCTTTTTTTTCTTTTTCTTACCCAAGTATGGTGAGTGAGATTGGTCCATTGTTAGCTGCATATGTGAGCATAACAAATGAAATTATGAGCACAATAGACATTTTGAATGAGTTTTTTGAATGCTCATTTCGTAATTTATGTATACTCATTTTCAAATGTCATATTCATGCATATTTCAAAATGAGTTTTATGTTAAGCTCAAATGAGTATAATACCCCAAAAAATGTGCACACACAAATGAGTTTTTTTAATATTTTGATACTCATTTTGTAATTATGTATGCTCATTTGGTACTGTTTTATGCTCATTTTAAAAGGTTGCACATGTTAAAAATATCATAATTCATTAGACACATTGAAATTAAATGAAAATGATTATAGACATAACTTAAGACTTTAATAAACGAAAAAATAATAAACGGAATGTGATATACGAGGAATGAAGCATATATCACTAATGATCACCGTTAGGCTCCTAATACTTAAAAAAACAGGCTCGGTGCTCATCAAAATTGAATCAATGCTCATCTAAAAGAATTCTGTGATTTTCACCAAAATTACAAGTTTGCCACCAGCTGTACGGCTGACACAATACAGCCGGCTGTACTATATACGCTTCCGAATTAAGGAGAGCTAGCCACATAAGATTCATTAAGGGTAAATTTGTCTTTAAATGAGCTACTTCTTTTCTTGTACTCCGTATATAAATAGAATAGATAGTCGACAAGGCGACAACATAATCAAGTTTTGCTTTTTTCCTATGGTAAAAATGAGACATCAATACTGCGTATAATGTTGGCAATGTTGTTCTCACCGGTGGGCGTAGCTCAACTGGTAGCAAGGGAGTGCCACAAGAGTTAGGTCTCGGGTTCGAATCCCGGCAACTGCGATGAGGGGTTACTATGCTGAAAAATGCATAGGGCCTCTGCAAGTACCGGGGACAGAGCCTCACTCTCTATCTGTCAGATTGTGATTATAGTCCAATTTACATCCTCCCATCGTGCTGTCCGGTCGGTGTTGGGGGGCCCTCAGGGATGGGGTGTCATCTTTTTTTTTTTTTTTTTTTGGCAATGTTGTTCTCAATTATCTGACTTCTCCACTCTCCGCCTAACCTAAGCCATGCCTGCCTGACCGGGGAGTTGACCAAATAGTATCATCATTCATTTTTGCACTTTGGGCTACACTGCTCCATTTTGCAAAATGAGATTAATGAGTATTCCTTAGTTTTCAAGATGAGCATTTTCGAAAAAGTATAAAAAAGTTATTTGTATGCACATACGTCATATAGGGCCACATTGATGAAATTGGCTAATCTATTAAATTATGAAAAATTACTTTTAAAATGTTGTTAATAAAAGAAAAAGTCATGTGAAAAATTATTTCAGCCAATTCACCCAATGACTCAGAAAAATAATTTCATTCTTATTTATTTAAATCATTGCCTAAAAAATTACATATTTAATAAAAATATATAAATTTATAATTTGAAAATAAGGAGTAACCAAACGGGCTTTTATTTCCCTGCTTGAACTCTAAAGACTTGTAGCATACAGAATCGAGTTGTTCAAAAACCAATATAGTTTCTACATTTTAAGAATTTGGGCTACCAGTAAGAGTGATAGAGTTGGTCGAGTCACATGTCCCTGTGAACGCCTTCCATACAAGGTTTGTCTAATGATGAACATTTAGCGATTAGCAAATATCAAATTATGGTAGCGGATTCAGAAGGTGTTTGGAAAATAACGTTTGAGCAAAAAACAACAATTTCACTCCTTTTAGCGTTTTCAACAAGTGAAAACGTTGTTTGTTTAATAGTTGTTCGATCCTTACGTTTTTGGACGGAATCGCTAAAATGAAAACACTGCAAACAAGAGAGTTTGGGTTGATGTTTTGATTATACCAATTTTCACTGATTGTTATGATCAAACAGCTAAATTACCAAACATTTTCTAACAAACCCCCAACTTATTTTGCTATTCAAATCTCAATCCATAGATGAGATGGATCATTTATGTGTGTGGAGACAAAGAAACCAATTCCCAATCTTTGGCCTTTTGCCCATATAGACAACATCATTTGTCAATTGCCTATCAAGTACGTAGTTTCTTCTTTTTCTTTCCCAAAAGACATCATACATCATTGACCTTTTCCAATCCTTTCATTGCTTGGGAAGACCCAATTTGTCAATAAACCTTTTGAAAATGGATGCCCGCCCCATGACCACGCACCGCCCACCCAACCCGAATAAAAACCAATCCATTTTTCTTCGTTAAATTCTCCCATTCCACTTCACATCTCTTTCCTTTCTCCATCCAAATTCAAACCCCACGCCCATGGCAACAGTAGCTTCGATTTTCTCTCGTTTTATTACATTTTCTTATACACATTCCCTTTAGTCTGCTGTATATTGATTTTACCCTCCGTGTGTTGTACGCAGGAGAGAAAGCGGAGCGCCGGGAGTTGCGGCGGCCATATTCCGGCGTTTGGTGGGTGGGACGCGGCGGCTGACCTCCCCATTACACAGTACTTCGAGAGCGCCCGGCATGCCGGCCTTTCGCGCAATCCCAGTGAACGCGTAGCCGCCGGGGCGGACCATCCCGCCGCTGGTGATGCGGTCCTTCCAGCTACAAAGGTCCGTATGTTAATTAATCAATTACGAAAACTATTTATAAAAATAGGATTTTAGATTTTAATGTTGATATTTCTAGAATAGGAGTAAATTATACCCTCTCCTTCTGCTCTACTCTTATCATAGTTTTATAAGAAAATCATATTTTTATGAGTTTTTTTAAATATTATTAAAATAAAATTTATTTACACATACGATAGTATATGACTAATCGTTACTACAATACTATGAGTCTATGACAACGGGTTGTTTACTTTTTCTATTAAAGTAACTCTTTTTTGGTAATTCTATTTTTTGGTTTATCAGACTTATCAACCAACTTTTTGATTAAACACTTTTAATTTTTGATTTCGTTCACTGAATTGTGTATTAATAAGGTTGGAGTTACTTTCCTGCATATATTGGTTGAAATTACTGCAGATGACTATTTTAACTATTTTTTTATATAATTTTTTCTTTATTTTATTAATAACATACGAGTATATTTTAAATATCATTTATTCATAAATCAGCAGAATTAGTCAATACAGCCATTTCAGCCAGAACTTCATAAATTTCAGCAGAATCAGCTGATTCAACCAATTTCAGTGTTACCAAACGGGTTCTAAGTCATGTCTGGACTAAGAAATCTGTCTGAGTTAAGATATCTGTGTGGATTAAGTGTTTCTTGTATATGAGGTTGTTTATTTTGTATGCTGAATAAACAATCTGAATTGAATACAATAATCAATTTAGGTATTATTCTTTGATTGTAATGTCATTGAAAAACTTCATTTATTAATATAAATCTATTTCACAATCAATTCAAAAAAATTGACAGAAAAACGCCTTAATAGACATTTTAATGGGAATGACTTTTATTCTCTAGTTTAATGATTAAGTCAGTTTTTGATTGAATGATTAAATCAGTTCTTTGAATAAATGATTAAGTCATGCTTTTAATTAAGTCGTAAGTAAACATGATTTAATAGCTGAATGTTTAAGTCGTCATTACCGTTAAGTCCATTAAATCAAAAATAAATTGCCCCTTAGCTAATACTATAGTTAATAGTCACATTTTTGTAAACGATCTTTATTTTAATCATAAATATGAAATTATTTCTAAAAACATAATTTAGTAAAAATGTCAATCTAACCACATCAGACAAAATTTCATAAATTTCAAAATTTCAAAATAATCAATCAATTTAATCAATTTGAATGTTACCAAACACGCTCTCAAATTTTTCCTTATTTATATTTTAATATGATCCGGAATGTACCTAGTCAACTTTCAAGATTGAACTCATTTCCTTGCAACATGTGCCTTAACCAGTTTTGGAATATGGGTAATAGTCGACCTCTTCCAATTTTGGATAATTTTATGTTCGATTTTCAAACACTCCATAAATCAAAAACATTTCAAATTTTAATCAATAATCTAAACTTGATTAAAGTTTCATAAAACAAGCTAAAGTCACTGAAAATTAACCTAGTGATCATTTTTGTGAGCACACCAAACTCGTAAAGATATTATTGTGTCTCAACGGCGGAGCTACTAAAATGACACAGAGTGGTCGAAACTTACATAAATACAAAATAAAATGATAAATCATTTTTAAACAATACTTGAGTTGAATGTTTCATATGTAGCTTGAATAATGGTAGTTTAAATGAAACTAATAGTGTAATACATTTGATATATATGTCATGTACATTATACTGAAAATGGACAAGAATAATCACAACTATTAGTGATCTGCTTGAAATAATCCAAAGTATCAATCATCTCAAAATAATCCCAATTATCGAAAAATCTTCTCAAAATACTCCGGTGACTTATAATTACCCGTAAATAACTTATAATATTTATGAGTAAGTAGAGTATTTTGAGAAGATTTTTCGATAGTTGGGATTATTTTGAGATAATTGATACGGAGTACTTTGAATTATTTCAAGCAGATCACTCGTAGTTGAGACTATTCTTGTCCATTATTCCTACATTATAAACCTCCGTAAGTAATGATTGAATTAGACGTTATTTTTAAAATATGAGAATATAATTATACATTAAATTTTATTCATTTCAAGTTTAGATAGTGTTGTTTTTTTCAGATGTCACAACTCTTTACTCGTAATGGGTACATGAGACATAATATATCAAATTTAGGGTATTTTAGTGTTCTATATTCTCGAACTTTTAGGGGGATCGATCGACCATCCAGTCGATCCTGACTCCTGGCTCCGTCCTTGATTGGGACATACATTTTCTAATAGGGACTATGTAATTTTTTTTTAAGTAGGGATACTTATCTTTAATTCTTTAGTAAAATATATGCTCAGTTGATTTAGCCCTTTGTTCATTTCTTTATTTGTGTATACTTAAGCAATTTCAGCGCATGAAGACTTTTAGTAATTGATATGAAGTATTACATTCATAAAACATACAAAAATGCTACTTGTACATGTCGGGTTACATGTCCAAGTGTAATTGTGTGTGACCCTAAATTGTTTGTGCACAGACAATTCATTTTTTGAGATCACAAACACTTTCATTACACAGACAATTCCATTTTGAGATGGATTAACAAATATACTAAGAAGCAGATAATAAATACTAAGATCAATTGTTTAAATTGAATCTTTCCTACATCAATAAGACGTGAACTGATAAACTACTACTCCGTATATTGATATTTTGAACTACTCTTCCACCCAATCTTCACCATTTAAGTTTTAAATTCTGTAAACTTGTATAAGTGCAGCGGAGGAGTTACTCACAAAATACAAAGGGGGAGAGAAGGCCGGTCCGCCATGGACATGAGAAAAAGGGATCCGCCGGTTCACGCCAGCAATTGCAAATGCATAGCAGTAGCCTGAATTCAGCTGCAAGCAAAAATGTGAATGTCACCCCGAAACCGGTGGATGAAGATCTCTATGGAATCCCCCCGGAGCTCCTTCGTGGTGGCAGCCGTGTACGTATCTATGGACTTAATAACACATTTTAGTTTAAGAATACTTGAGAAAAAATAATACTTGTTTGCTTGACAAAAAATAATTTGCTTGTTTAGTATCCTTTTTTCGTATTGGCATATCATTTTTTTTACCAAACACAATATTTTTTTATTTCAACCATCAATTGTATGATAAACAAAATTATTAAATTTGAAATTACATTTCTAGTGTAGGTTGGATTAATAAATTTGCTTAAGAACACAACTTTAGTTTTTGTTTCATATAATGTCTGTCTTTCATTATTAGTTTATTATATACTACCCTTATCCCGACTTAAGCTTCTAATTGAAAAATGACATGATTATTTAGACAATAATGAAATAAATAAACCTAAGTATTTTTTCATAAGTAATTTTGATGAGTATATAACATAATGAGGTCATTGATGATAACTATGATGTTATAAGAGTATTATTTTTCATATTATTGATTAATTTGTTACTCGTATTTAAGAGTGCTAATTAATTTCCTAAAATAGAAATGAGAAGCTTTACGTGGGATGTCTAAAAAAGGCAAGTAAGAAGATTAAGCTGGGAAAGAGGGTGTATATGTTAATTTTTATTAATAATTCAGCTGATTTGGACTGTTATGCCATAATGTAAGAAATTTCAATAGACTATTAGACTCTCTCAATATATAATAGGCTCTAAAATGTACATAGTGTACTACACGAACTGATTCTCGTATTATAGTGTGATCTGGTTTTAGTATCTTCGATATTGCTCAAGCAGTCTATATACTAGTTGATGATCTAATTAATTTTCATCATTTTTGGTGCAGAGGAAATTCTTTTTTGGGTTCTTTTCAAGATGCCTTGCTCCTTCTCCATGTACTGCATGAGTAGTTATGTGCATACTATACGAATTTCTGGGAGGAATATGTATAAAAAACAAGAAGTTGAAATGAAGGGTGAAAATGATGGAATATAATGATGAACACATGAAGAAAAATCATCTCTGAATACAAGAGATTCAAGAGCATACAAAAGGAAATTACAAATGTTTGGTAGTAAAGAAAAGTTTAAACATGTTAATTGTAAAAGAGTTATCTGAGTTGAGCTTTTTGTTTCTGGCCCTTCTGTTGCTTTATTTTATTTTTCATCCTTCTTATAGCCATGACACTCCTCAAGATGAGTATCTATGTTAAGCATTTTCATCTTGGACTTAAAATCATTGAATAGAGGATTTGTCAAAGGTTTCATACTTTCATATATATATCTACAACTTGAAACATATTGTTAGCATGAATAAGTTCAATGAAACTAGTAACTACATTTTCTTAAATAATATTACAATCTGTGTCTATATGATTAATTCATTGGGTTATAAGCTAAATGATAAGGTAGACTTATTTGAAAAGAATGAGAAATATGTAAATTTGTAGAAACACTACAAGTCTATAACCAATGCCCACACAAACTCATTAACAACTACTCTCTATGCTTTCAATATGTTATCATCATGTCTCTCTCACTCAAAATCCTATACTCATTATGTATTTAATGCCCACACAAACTCATTAATAACTTCTAAATATGTTTTGATAAATCTGTTTTACAATACTTTAATATGTTATCATAATATGTCTCTCACTAAAAGTCCTATAATTATGTCTTTAATCATTTTAGTTGTGATTTGATAAATATATACCATACTTTGAATGTGTGTATGTGTATATAAATAAGCACACTCTTAAGCATGACTCTAATTTGGCTCGTTTATTTAAGAGTACTAGTAAAACTTTGACAATGTATACTACAATACGGCTCGAACTTCAGGTTCAAGCCAAGCATGAACATTTGGTCCTAAGGCACGGCTCAAATTATAGCAAGAAAAATATGGCATATTTTAATTAGACCCAAAACTTACAAAACAAATGAAAGAAATATAATGTTACGTTCATACAACACAAATGGGACTAAACACATCAAACATTTAAAACACACACTAGTATGTATTGTCATAATGTAGGAGCATGTATGTACAAAGTAACCATGTCAATCTAGCCACACACACAAAAGTGGAGTTGAAAGGTGTTCAAATTCCTTCATATACCATGAAACCACTTGTGTTGCAAAAGTGATATTCTATCAAATGATGGTGTGAGGAGGCCTACTTCCAATGTATACACAGATCAGGGAATCTCAGCAACCCGGCACATAGTGATCTCCTGTTGTTTAAAGTAGCGTCTATCCTCCTCGTCAACCAGGACAAGGTTCAAATAGTATTTCACGCTGAATTTGTTGTTTATATTCATATATGTTGGTGTCAGTTCGTATGGACTCAAAAACAATCTGATGGGAATAGACTCGCCTGCAAAATTCAATCACAACTCTTAAAAAATGTTGCAATTTATAGGCAAGTCCATAGCTCGAGGGTTGAATTTGAACCTACCACTTTAGGGTATGTTGGATCCTGGAACATTCCAAGTAATTTTCTTATATTTGGATTTACCATCATCGTCATTCATCATCATTACCCCAGTGCCGCAAAGGTTCCCACCTACGGTGAGGTAAGGGGGGTCGGATGTACGCAGCCTTACCCCTGTGCTAAAGTACAAGGAGGCTGTTTGCCTGTTTCCGAATGACCCATAATGAAAATCGCGTCAAAATTATATAGTTACCAATGGTGGGGTAAGTGGGGTTGGATGTACGCAACCTTACCCTTGTACTAAAGCACTTTCCGGATGAACCATGATGAAAATCGCGTCGAAAATTGTTGTTTCATAACAACGAAGCACAAACAATTCAATGAGCCGTTCTGCTTCATTTCATCATATTCCCAAACCAAAAAATGGTGAGTCGTTGGCTCCATTGGAAATGATGGAAATTTCTTGTTGTTGCTTATATAATTAAACAAATAGATTGATTGCGAACAAATATAGAAAACTAATTTATTGAATTGGAATATATCTTTTGTTTTTGCACAATTCTTTTTCTCTCATTTTTCATCACAGTTTTCATTCCCATGTATTTCCTTGTTCAAAACTGGCACTTATAGGAAAATTGATGATATTACCTCTAACAGGAGCACCATCCATCAACTCAAACTTTGCAAGAGTTTCTGTCTCAACATGAGTGTTGGCTCCAGAACCTGTAGATTCCCGGCGTCTGATCTCAAGATCCATGTTCTTTATCTTTATTCGTACAAGAAGGAAATAAATCTTTCCTATAATCACATCTTTCAAATGATACCTGTTTATGTTAAAACAATAATTTCAAAAACCGCGGGGAAGAAATGCAAGAACGTTTTTTGAGAAACTAATCATACTTGCTTTTGTTGTACTCAAACTCGATATGAAGGCAATCTTCGATTCCAACTTCCATCTACAAGTCACAACGATGAATGAACATTACTCTAAATCGGCCCTGCCTACTAGCTTCAATTGCAAGAAGAAGATATTACAAAAGATAATTTTTTATTTCTATAATTTAATATCATAAAAATAATGACGTGCAAATAAATCGTATGTCTGTTACCTTGATACTATTGTTGATAGTAGGAGGCGGGGCATAGTTGCGCACCTAATTCATTGATATATTAAGAAAAATAATGATTGAGGAATATAATTGAAATGCCACTAAAGTAGTTTGAAAGACAAAAAAAATATCAAGTAAGATAAATGAGCATGCAGGTGCTTTCTTTCCTGCTTTATTCTTCCATTTTTCTTCTTTTTGGGTGCACAATTCCTACTACATGCCACAGACACCAGCTATCCTCAATTCAGAGTTAGTGGATCTTACCAATTGAAGTTTGGAACGTGGAGTTTGACACAAATGATATTAACAACACGTTTGGTGCATGGAGTTTGACACAAATATTACGAAGTGAGACTTTGTAGTTGGTATTGAATTTGCAAAAGTAACAATGATTGTGAGTTACAAAATGTGGCCAGACTTGGTATGAGTAGAATGTTTTGGGATGCCCTAAAAAGGATATGACAAACAAAATGGGACAAAGATAGTAAGTAATATATAAGGCATTGTCTTTTGTCAGAATAAGGCATTGTCTTCTTAAACGATCAACGAACCGGAAAAGTAGGACTAAAGTCTTTCAGTTTCTGTATTGTGGACAGAGGAAGTGCACCATTAAAATATCAGAAAACAAACATGAAAACTGAAGCACCGTGTGAAAAAAAAGTAGATAAAAGTGTTTGTGTAAGGTATACAATACCACAAAATCTTGGTATTCCACTATGCTGCCACCATAGCCACGGCTTATAGTCACTTTCAGAACATACCTAAACACACAGAATGTTGAGTCTCAAAATCATGTTTGACAATATAATAAGATCTTATCCACTAGCATCAACGAATGACAAATAAAAGCACTTTCCAATATCCTGCATTTGATATAAGAATAAGCATACTGGCATACTTCAAGTATTTGATACGGAATGGAGGATCTTTGCAAATTAGTTAATCTCTGGTCGTTTCTTATCATGATTTATCATTTTCACCTTTACCATTGTTGCAACAAGATTTACATGTAAAGATCCATCTTTAATTTGTCTCCTCAATGATCGTTTAACTTTTTATTATTTTTTTTGCTACATTATCACTGGACCTTCTGGCAACAGGGAGCAAGCCAACCTCTCTAGCAAAATTTGGACTGCATAATTTCTTATAGACTGTGCAAATATGCAATGAAACCCGGGCAATATCATGTGTCTTTGACTGCTTGTTAGTTAGTTAAATCTTACATAGTAATAAATAAATTTCTAGGTTAGTAAAAGGAGACAAAAACACATGCATTCTTTAGAAACCAAAATTCACAGTATAATTAACTTAGTTACCTAAGGCGAGCATTTGCCCCATTGTACGTTTCATAAGGCATTTCAACAGTTGAAAATTCAAATGGGTATGTTTTCCTCTCATATAATTCACCAGGCACATCCAGCTCACGAACTGCAAAGAATTGAGATTATAGAAGAAACCAAAAGGAATGGAATCAAGAATTGGCATATCATATTCTCGGGAATCAAGTAGGCACATCCAGAAATCATTACTTGAAAATTAAAAGGATTTCAAGTCTTGGCATATCATATTCTAGGGAATTGAATATCATAAACTAGTGGACAAAAGAGCCAAATAAAAGTGCTCGGAATAGTGACAATTTAATTATGAAGCTATAAAAAAAACATAAGAGCATGAATTCTACAAGACCAATAAGTAACTAACTACACAGAGTCAACATGATAGCTGACAGTGCTCCTAGACATCCTAGTCCATGAAGCAATTCAAGCAAAGGAATATGCACTCACCAAGAGAGGTGAAATCGTAGAAGTTCCCCCTATCAGAATACATTTCTGTAATTAAAAAAAACAGCCGAGAATTCAACGTCATTGTTTGAGACAAAAGGGGACCCAACAGCATATATGCTTGCACACGTGACAGAAAATATGAGTGAAACTGCACAACTAAAAATGGAAATGATTAACCGAACCCCGAAGTAATCTGGGCCCAAAAAATAAAAATAAAAAAGAACAAATAAAAACACAACGACAATATACATGACCAAAACGGAATGTTTGTGCACCATAGTAGAGGTAGTTATTATGTCTTAATGTCACGTGAGGAATAATCCTGTGACATCAAAATTCAAAACCAGTGTTTTTTTGGAATGAGATAATAAAAGAAGCAGAATAACCCGAGGAATGTGAAATATTGAGCATGTGAGAGTCATAGAGATTGATACACTCGTGCACAGAGAACATAAAAAGAACCAGTTTCCATAGCAAATCATAATATTGTCTTTGGCTCAACATTATTTAGGGCCAACATGGTACATAGGTCATACTGTGGACAGAGAGAGAGAGAGAGATAAGCTTTTATGGGATTGGATTCCATCTACTATATGGCTTTCAAGATGTATGCCTAATTGAGGAGAGAAGTAGCTTTATTTAGTGAATAGCCATTATGAGGGAAATAATAAGACACAAACTGAAAACCAAGCTGATTCAATTTAAAAATGGTGATACATAGGCTGCAACGCAGAACCAGCATATAGTGTAAGTGTGGAAACAGCGAGTGGTTTGTTAAAATACATGTGAGAAAACGTACTCCCAAGAGTCCTCAAATTTTGAAAGGATTTAGGACATTTTAATCTTAAACCTCAGGAGGCTGCTAGACAGCATATACTAGTCCAGAAAACCAGGTAATTACTGACCTATCTGACCAAGCAACTCAACTTTAATTCCATTGTGTTCAACCTTCTTTCCTGATATTGGTTCAATTGATATCTGAGACACCATCACAAAGGTTTATTTTTTCATGGGGTTAAAAAAATATGAAAGGCATATGGAATGGAATACTAGGATTTAAACCACAAAACTGTAGAATACCTTCCCAACTATGTTTTCTTGACTATGAAAAAGTGGGGCCATTACTGTTTGGCCATTTTCCTTCTTCAATGGTATCTAGCAATGTATATAATAAATCCAGAAGTAAAATATGGAGCAATATCATCAGAGTAATATAAATATGAAACTTTGCTAAGTCTTGAGTAAACACAATGAAAAAGTAAATGATCAATTTCAGTGGCAGTGAACCATGAATTTTGTCCAGATGCCAACAGTTATGAATAGATTCAAACGGATCTTTAAAAAATCTCAATATTTCATTGTCAATCTCCTGGAAGAGAACTTCGAGGAAACTCCCAGAGATCTATTTTTGCATATAGATACTATCATATCAGGAATTCATAAAAGCTTGAGTGGATATAGAGTCAAAAACAGCTAAATGATTATCCAATACCTGTTTACGTGACTTCCCATCTGAAAACGTGACTGAAATGTGGCATGCTGGCTTGAAAGCTCCGAGTATATAATTCTATCACCATAATTGAAAAAAGTACAATAAATCTAGGAACAGAGTAGCATAGTGTGAAAAAACAAAAATAGGCTCCTGGCAGTAAATTATGAGCAGGTTTAGAAACATTACCATGTCAATGGAGAACGAACCCTGATCTGGAAAGAATCAAAATATCTGTGAAAAATTGAATCTGTAATTCACAATTTTTACTCAAATCCACACCAAATAAACAGAACAGAGAAAACAAAAAATCCCATCAAAATACTAAAAATAAGCTGCAGGTAGAGAGCTATACTCGCCGAGTCCCACCCAAAACCAAAAGAGCCATACAGTGGTGAGCAAAAAAGCCAGGTGAATTCATTAAATAGCTTAATCAATGAATTAGTCGAAAAAAACTTACCTGGGATCGGACGAAGATAATGCAGATTCACCGCCCTGGCTCCTAAGAGCAATGCTCCCTTTTCAACTATTTTCGCAGAAATAAATTTTTTTTGGCTGATTTTCGCAGAAATTATTACACTAAATTAATAATCGCAATGTTGATTACAGTATTACACTAAATTTATTTCGCATAAATTATTATAAACATTCAGGGAGAATAATGTGGGCACTTCTACTCAGCTAGAAATTTGCTGGTCTGGTCTGATATTTTTAAGTCCGGTCTGAACCGATTTTATCTGATAAATGTTTAGTCTATGTGTATTTTATAACTATGAAAGTATGACCTGATCTGGTTTCTTTAAGTCTGGTCTGATCTGGTCTGCTTAAGTCTAATTTTGTCAGGTGTGGGACTGCAAATAACCCAAGTAAAATCATCCTAACATTTAGGAGGTGTTTGGCTGTTGAATGTTGGCCGAATATGTTGGCTGATTGGTGGCGACGGATTCTGTTGGTTGTTTTGCTTAGCCGATAATGTTAGCTGTTTATATATGTCTCATACATTTTGCTAATATTATTTATTAATACAACTACTTAATCCGTTTTTACTTTTTTGAGAATAAAATTTTATTAACACAAGTAACAATTCATTTCAACATTGTTTTTTAAACACAAATAACATTCGCTTTTTTGGCAGGACAAATAACCTTCATTTCATAAGTATGATTATATTTTGACTAGTAAATGGAATAATAAGTAATAAAATATACTAAGAAAATCCTTGTTTAGTGACCAATGGAATAATAAATGGCATCATAGTTGAGTTTGCTACATCTTATTTTATCAAAAATGATGTTTGTACTCACTCTTATACTCACTTTTGTACCCACTTATGTTTGTGAAGTGTTTTTTTGTCTGTGAACCCCGGTTCATCAGGGGCGGCCTTAGCAGTTTTGGGGCCCTAGGCGGAAAACATTTAATAATTACATACGGAGTATTAAGTTTTCTATAATTACATAGTCCTAAAAGAGTAGGGTAAATGAATATAAACAAACATCATATGAGAAAAAAATATTCAAATATCTTCTCAATTTATTTTTTGATCTAAATTTTTTGTTTATCCGTCATAACAATACCTGCCCATTTAACATATTTGTAGATAATAATGAATCGGAAGTCATCAACGAAAAACTAAAATTAACTGTTGAATTACTCTCTTCGTCCCATAAAACTTTGTCAACTTTGTTATTTTCTCTCTTAAGTAAGAATTTGTAGTTCCAGTTAATTTTCTCTCCTCTGCACAAATCTCAATTACACATTTTTTAATTTATTAATTCATGTGCCGGTTTAATTTGACAAAATTTTAAGGGACACAGAAAGTAAAATATACAATTATAAAAATTAGAGAAAAAACAACTAAATGACTATTTATTTTTTTAAAGCAACTAAACGACTAATTCAATTAGAATCATAAATATTAGTGCAAAACTCAACTCACGAACAATAACTACATTATAACAAATTAACAATGAGTCAATTATTATCAACTTACTAATTAATAAAAAGTGCATTATCTTTAAAAAAAAATTGCGAAGTCTATAGAACTCCTCAACGCAAAATTCCGAATCTCATGCTCTTAATTCATGGCCAGGCCAATTGCAGAAGTAAATAAATCAAAGTCAGAAACTATTATCCAAAGACTCACAAATATTACTAATACCGGGAATAAATATTACTAATAAACTACAGAAGAACATGGCTGCTGAGAAAACAATAAATTAGGCCGAGCAGCGTCTTCCGACTTTCCGTCTCACACACTTCACTGTCGCCACTTCGCTGATGACCGGTCTTGGTAGTTGGGAGTTTGGGCGACGACGTCTCAATTTCAGGTGTGGGGCTCCTCATTAGTCAACTTCCAGACAAGTTCATTTCTAATACTACCAATTAAAAATTTTGAGGCCCTCCTAAATGGTGAGGCCCTAGGCAAGTGCCTAGACCAACTGGCCTCATGGCCGGCTCTGTGTGGGGCTCCTCATCAGTCAACTTCCAGACAAGTTCATTTCTAATACTACCAATTAAAAATTTTGAGGCCCTCCTAAATGGTGAGGCCCTAGGCAAGTGCCTAGGCCAACTGGCCTCATGGCCGGCTCTGCGGTTCATAGACAATATTTTGCATAAACAAAATATTATTTGTGAATCGGATTCACAGACGAAAAAAAAAAACACTTCACAAACATACTGGGTATAAGGTGGGTATAAGAGTGGGTACATCAAACATTGTTGTTATTTTATTTGGTTGTAAGGTATGGAATAGTGGAATATGATACAACCAAAATAAGAAAGGGAGCATGAAAGATACAACTAAGTTACGACTTACAAGCATGAACGGAAGGTTACAACTTACAAACTTAAACGGAAGGGATCATGGCGGAAGAATAGGGATTTACGATGCATATTCAAACAGCCTAAACATAATAGATTCTTTGCTAGCATAATAGATTCGAGTTCCTCGAAAGGTATAGTATTTGGGTTAGGATAAGGTGGGGTCGATATAGGAGAGAACATTCGTTCTGTATCCTGGGTTCTCCGAGAAGTGGTAGGTGTTTGAGGTTGGGTGTGGAAGGTTCGGATATTTGTAGGGTAAGGATTGGAGTATGTTGTTGTTGGGAGTGAGAGGGTGTGGATTGTGGTTGGGGTTGGATGATGTCATTCTGAATCGCCTGGGTTAATCTAAAGTTCTGTGCCCGAGCGGTTATTGCTTCGTGCACTCGTGGCATTACGATGGACTCAAGGAAACGATCCAGAGCGACAGAAAGGTCAATAGGGTTAAGGTTTCCGATTACAGGGGTGGTAACCATTGTCACAGCATCAGTAAAAATTACTAGTGTGTGGCCTACTGATAATGATAGGTCTATCTGTTGAGTGGCAGAACTTCCGATCATCATTGAGTTATCTCTGATCGTTGTTGGCAGGTATATATAGTGGACCTGTAGTGGGTGGTGTGAGAAGTGTATGTGTTCTAGAAAAATAAGAAAATGTTTGGAGGGTGACACCTAGACTCAATGTGGTAGAAGGAGGGGTAGTGACCTGGGGCTGATGGTCAGTAGAAATGTCCTCAACTGCTCCGAAAGGGGACAAAGAGGTGGGTAAGATTTCCCATATTTGTGAAACTACTACCTGTTGGGAGGCAGCAGAGTAGCTAGGTGTGACTTGTGAATGCGCAGTTGGACTAGATGTTGCGTCTTCTACTCGGAAACTGAGAAAGTCAGCTTCTACTCTTATGGGGTCAGTCCGGTTTACCACATCTAGGTCTGTACATTCGTCAAACATGGCTATTTCTTCGGCCAGGCTGCTTGCGGTTTGTATCCTCTGTGTAGGAGTGAATGATGAGGAAGTGATGTCTTTTGATGTTTGGAGCGCGTCTCACTTATAATATTTCCTTCTCTGTTTGTCCGTGAGTAAGACGCCTCTCTTTTTGCTGCCATGGGGAGCCTGATAATGAGTCCGCATTTTTTGTACCAGAGGCTCCCGGCTTGATTGGCATTGTCGTCCGCATCATCATTAACCCCATCATCTTTGTTGTCTTTGTTGCGTTTGTTAGCCCTTCTCCCGGAGCTCTCATCGTCAGCGTTTTGTGTTCTGGTTGCGCTGGACGAATCATTGGTAGACTCCTCAGCACCTTGGTCGCCCTCAACAAACTTAGTCCAATCATCATGGGGCCAGCTTGCCACTGGTCTCTGTGGCCGGGTTGAACTCTCAAGACCCTCACTATCTCTCGGCTGACTCCCTGAGGTAGGCTTAGGGGGGTTTATCTGAGCCGTAGGGAGTATGATGTTGTTCCTCTGGCAGTAACGTCAGACAGATGGATCATTCGGATCGGCTAGGTACAACAGAGGCACTGGTATGGTGAGAGGTACCAGTGTTGAATCTTCAGCGACCTTCTCGAGGTACTTGAGGGATGTGTGCTGACGTTCTCAGTTGATAGTCTTTTGTGAATGGTTGGCGTTGTTCAACAACCACATAATCATAAGAATCAGAGCAGGAATCAGACTCAAAACAGCATGTTTTCATTGACTTAACACAATTCAGAGAACAACGACTCTTAACAGATGTACTAAAATAGAAAACTTAGGAGTCGCACTTTTAGTATGACCTCTGTTCTAAAAGTCGCTCTAGGCGTCCGACTAGTCCCCGCCTAGGCACTAAGCGGTGGTCGGGCGCCCCGATTTTTGTCTAGGCGCTCCAACTAATTGGTTTTCCGTCTCGGTGAATTAGTCGGCCACCTATGGCACCTAGTTGCCCGCCTAGAGCGCCTAATCGGCCGCCTAAGCCATCTAGATTTGCCGAACATTACTTTACTTTTTAATTTTAATTTTCTAAGCGATATACATACTATAGCTTTAGACGTGGATATGAAGAAATGAAGTTATAAATTAAGATAAAACTATATATGTTTATATATACACCTAAATTTCATCATTATTTATATTTATAACATAATTAAGTTAAGTGATTATTTATCATATACTACGTATGAATAAATGTGATGATTCTATCATTCATGTTTGTTAATGTATATTTATATATGAATTGTAGATACACAAAAATACAATATTACTTATCATATTTATGCAAAAATATAGATATAATGCAATTTCTTTATCTCCGACCAGTCCCCGACTAGGCGCCCGCCTAGGCGCCCGCCTAGGCGCTGGGCTGGCGCCCAACTAGCGCCTAGCGCCTAGCGCCTTTTAGAACATTGAGTATGACTAGTCGAAGATTTGCTTAGGAAACTCCTAGGAACAACACTCCTAGTATGACTAGTTGAAGGCTCACTAATGCTAGATCAAGACTTATTTTGGCATAAAATAAAGCACACGACCGCTGATTCGAAATGCATGGGAGAAGAAAGAAACGTTGGCTGAAAAAACTACTTATTTGATCCTATCAAAAGTAGAGGAAATTGCTCATGGAAGGACTAAAAATATAGCATTCTTCCGAAAATTGAACCATATGTTTGATTTTCCTAGACTTAAAATTACATGTTCACCTCTAATTTAATTAATTAATATAATCAGTTATCCTCCTAGTTCTTTTGCATAATCAAAGTGAGTTCGTTAGTGGCGAATCAAGTTGGTAACGGCAGGAGTAGTGAACTCCTACGGCGTCGTCCTAGCAGCAGTCCGGCGACCTGAACGTATTGAAGACATCAGTGATCCATGTTGGAATATTTTCATTTTATATGTGGCCTTATGACCATTTATAATAATTATTTCATTATTACTATGTTAATAGTAATTATGCCAATATGATATAATTTGTCACCCGTCTTACCTATACATTACCTGATGGGAGTAATTGTAATTATTATAAGGGGATAATTGATTTCCCACTAGGTGCCTATTAATTAATTAAATTAGATAGAAAGACATGACTATTCCTTGATGTCCATTCTCTTATATTCATACGAAAGGATGTGTTCATTTATTCATGTCTTTTCACTCATTTCAGACTTATAAATAACATTTAAACACTTCTTTGAGACATACATCTATAACTCGATCATTATCATTGATCAATCCTCCATCACGAATAAGGCATCATAATGAGAATCATGTTTTATCAACGAACAAGACATAGACATGATTTCCTTCAAGTAAGTAAATCATATATTTCATTTTTATTAATTTTGTTGCGTTTGAAAAAATTACGAATCTTGTCACTAGTATTTTGACTTGTTGTGGTGTGTCACATTTTTAAGAGGAAAGAAAGACGATAATTTTGTTAAAAATCCTATAATTTTAAATATGGACAAATCAAATATTAAAATTGTTTAAAATGCCAAAATTGATAAATAATTCTAAAACAATAAACTTAAAATTTTAATAACAATACAAAAGAATAAATATTAAAATAAAAAAATTAAATTAAAGAACATTTAAGAATAATAGGATATATAAATAATTTAAAATGGCTAGACTTGTTTTGATTTTGAAGATAAGCATGCTTATATGATAATGTTATAGTATACAAGCACAAATTATGGGTTTGAAATAATGGAAATGCCAATTTGGACCTTTTTCCCGTAATAAAATATAGGAGAAGTACATAAAAGATACTTGTGATTTGAGCCATTTTCATATGGGGACGTGTGTTTCATTTTTTAAGAAAGGACATGTGTTTCCCTAAGTAATTTTTTCTCTGTCTTCTATATAACTAACAAATTTGAGAGCAGTAAAATAATAATTGTGTGATTGATGTTTGTGAAAAAAAGAAATAAAAAGAGCCATAAATTAATTAATTGAAGGAGGGGGTGACAAAGTTTTTTTGATGATAAAAAAAGATACATGGATGGAATAGATATATATTGGATTACCCAAATCAAGTACTCCGTAGTCCGTACAACCAAATGACTATTTACTCTAACACACTCCTTACTAGTTACGGAGTATACATTAATACTAGAGTATTTTATACATAAGCTATTGACAAAGGTAATAAGGTCATGTTTGGATCGACTTCCTAAGTATGAGGTGTAATGCCCATATCTGGATAATCTCAGGAATGAGAGAATTGTAGGGTTTTCTCAGTTCTTGATATATTAGGTGAATTTCCACCAATCCAATTCACATCTCCTCAATTCCGACCACCAGATCAATCCAAGCAAAACCTATATGACATGATGAAAATCTTTCATATTATCATAAGAGTACACCACCCCCCTTCACTTTGGGGCCTAATCAACACCTTTCATCCCCTAACCAATTGTCCTTCTCTTTTGGACCCGTGGGCCCTTCCTCGCCATAAAGCTCAGTCGGGAAGATTTCAAACAGACTCTCAACCGAAAGCCTAACAAAAAACGGAAGGTGGTTGATTATCTTATCCACCTCAGATGCCGAGCCATACTCAACGGTCGGGCCCCACTCCCTCATGAACTGCAACCAATGAGGCTCCTCAACAACTCCCTCCCCAAGATATTCAGCTGCAATTATCTGATATCTCGAGCTCGAGTCCACCGAGTGTTTGCTTCGATCACAATCATTCTTCGCCCCTATCCCAAGCACTGAAGACCCTTGGATGTAACTGCCTGCGTGTGGGAAACTGGCATGCCCGTTTCTTGAAGAGTACACTATCGGCTTGTTCCCGTTTATAAACTCCAACTCGCCCGCGGGCACCCACTCACCCCCGCTGTGTTCCGAGAAATACAATGACCAAAGCGCCCCTGAGAAGTTGCTGACTCGGAGCGTATAGTGCTCCCAGTCGCTCACGTGCTGTCCTATTCGGTTCATATCATAACTCATCACCCCTACTTTAAGGGTGGCGGGCCCGTTGAAGGGGCAAAACACCCACATCACAATATCAGTATGGGTCCCACCCAAAGCTGGTTTCACATTAACGTATAGCTCGGCACTCTCGATGTTACCAAAACGGACGAAATCTCTCTTGTCTTCGTTATCGGGCAAATCAAGCCAGAATTCCCCGTCATTTGCACCGCCAGCTGGGAGGTTTGACCCCATGGAGTCGATGGCTATACCATTATTTTTTCCATCTTTGTATAGGAGGGCCCCATTAGTGAAGAACCACGAAACGGATGAAGGGAGATAAACCTCATTGGGATGGAAATAGACTGTTGGACCATATTCCTGGATGAGGGCATGGATCTGATCAAGGTTTGGCATTGCGTGTAGGGTAGAGTCCATGTTTTTCAAGCAAGCAATGCTAAGATCATTGTCTGAGCTGACATTTGTGCCACAAAAGAATGTTCCAATTGAAACGCCCTTACAGGACACCCCCCTCTTGCAGGGTCTTGTTGTCCAGACCTGAAATTGCTTCTTGGAGAAAATTGATTTAGTGGTAAATATCAAAGAACATGCTTCCACAGTTTCGGTAAGATCAGCACGGACACATCGAATGTCTTCAAGATCAGGTTCATCGGGCTCAGCAGTGACCAAAAAGCCTGTCGGTAAATACCCATCTGGTGCATTTGGAAGCCAAATGTAACCCGAGCCATTACAAGAAGAACCGTCCATAGTCCAAACCAATGTGTAGCTAAGAGGTTTCTCTAGAGGAGGAAGGCTTGATCCAGAAGGTTGTACGCTGGAGAAATCTCGGGCGGCAAGAACATAGCCACTCAACTGCTTCCCATCAGGCTGACAGTAATGACCAAGAACAGAGAAACCTTCCGGAACATCAACCGGCTGATAAAATGTCACGCTGTTTGATTTCCCAAATGATGGCTTGCAACTCCATATTTTTTCAAACTGAGTGATTTGGACCACTTCGATCTCCCCTAGGCATATTCTTCCCTCAGCAAAACCATCACCTGCAGGAAAAAGAACACTAAAATCACTCCAGCACAAATTGAGAAGGGAAAATATATTACTCAGCTTTTCCCATTTAACAAGTCCAGTTCTTTTTGGCACCATAATTTGTTAATTTTCCAGGTCTAAACACCACTAACTGTATATGCCCGCAATCTTCTTCTTTCTGCACAAGCATATACATATAATTCGCCCATAATGTGACTATACAAAATATGGGTCAATCGCCCATTCTATGTTAAGAAACTGTATTTTAGTCTGTTGAAAATACTTACTGAACCTAAAAAGGTAAAAAGTGAAATTTTGAATTACAAACGTATGCAAAACTGTACATGAGCTAATATTTTAACAAAAGTGTTAATTGTCCAAAATATTTAGTTCAATTAAGGGATGTCAGGCCACCACACTCCAAATATGTAGACATTTTACCAAGTTGATTGACTATCAAATTAAAACAACAGCTTTTACGAGAAATTAGAGATTCAAACATGTCTGCAAGGGAAACTGAATTTTAAACTTCAAAGTCAATTGCCATCATTTATTCATTTATTGCTAGAATAAAATTTCATATGCTTAATGGATCACAGCAATATTTAGGAGAAAAATCTAAAAATATGTTTGCCCGTGCCAAAAGGATATTAAAATATACTGCCACAAAAGAAGCAAATGTTTCAACTGGCATGCACAGAAATTCTAGACTTCTAGTATTCCAGCAAATAAAGGCAACCCAAAATCATGATCATGGCCCAGGGAAAGTAAACTGTGTTTCCATTAACAATAACAAAATTACTTGCCCACAGTGAAATAAAGCAAAAGATAATAACAAGAACTGGGAAAAGACACAATCTTTAGCGATGGAAATTCTGAGAGAGAGACCTTGAGGCCACTGGGGAAGAGGTGAGGGGAGAGTAAATGTGTGAGGTTGCTCCCCTGGAAACAAGTCATAGGCTCTCTGTCTGTCCCAGCTCCACCAACAATCCATCTACCCAAACACGCCTTTGTGTTAGTCACTATTCTCTCCTCTCCTCCAGATAAAGACAGATCCTATCTGCAACCAGAAAATTCTCCAAGAACCCACCAAGAATCTGCTCTCAGAGAAAGAGAATTGTGGGGGGTGGGGGGGTAAAGTTGACCTGGGGGTGCTCTCAGAGGAGAATTGCAGCAAACCCACAATTCTCTTCTCTCTCTCCTACTTTCCCAATGCCTACTCCGCAATCTTTAAAGGATAAAGCAATAAATTTATATGTAAAGAACTAATAGGAAGTCGATAAAGGAAGAAGGAAGTCTTCCTTCTTTCACTTCTTCAATTTCGGTTGAGTGGCGATGGAGCTAACTCATCATCTCAAAGAAATATAAAAACTGGCGTGCTGGGCAATGGTCATCCTCGGGAAGGTGGGTGGGCCGTTGTTATCAACCATCAAAGCCATTGTTAGGATATCCAGAATGGATCAAATAGAACCATTCGGGTTGGACCGGGATAGGACCTAATTCATTAAGAAGCGGTCTCCATCGCAATTATTGAGACTTGAGAGTTCAATCTCTCATCCGATATTCTCGTCCATGGAATTTGAGGTTCAACCGGTCCTACTCCGGAGTGCTTAACTGCGGACCGTTTAGGTTGCAAACCTAATTTTTTAATTTATTTTAGAGTTCACTTAGCTAACATGTGGTTATCAGTTATCACAATTCACAACCCACTTGTCAATTGTCATAGAAAAGAATCACTGATCTGTTGTAATAGGTTTATTATCAAACTAAAAATCATTGGGTAAACTTAGATGGTAATAGGTTTAAATATCATGTACGTTGTACGTGTAAATGGGGGGTTTTTAATAAAAAATAATGGAGTCCTACACAAGTGTGAAAAAAATTGTCTCCGTTGACATTAAATCCTGGATCCTAAAATTTGTCTACAATTATAAATATGTATCACTAGTGTATAGTGAAGTGAGGCTAAAGAAAAGAACATATCTTACTCTACTTTAATCATATCCCTATTTTCAAGGTCATGATTAGATTATTGCATCATGTACTAGACTTCTTTTCTTTAGTCATAACATTGTCTATCCTCTCTCCACCATACACCGGTGATACATATTTATAGTTGTAGCGTATTTAGGGCCGGTCCTTCCCTTAGGCTCAGGGCCCAAAAAATATTAAAAAATTAGGGACCCAAAAATTTAAATACATTTATATTATATATGTATTTAAAAAACAAAAGCTACATCGTCCGATACAGAAGTAACAAAATATGCGGGACAACAGAGTTATGAACCAGGTAGTGAAGTACAAATATGAAGTCCCAAATTTGTCGATATGTTATTATTTCCAAAAATCTAGCTTTTAGAATGATTTGCTAATTTGAGAACTATTGTTTGGTGAATACCCAATGAACTAACCTATTAACTTCTATTTTCTATTTGCTATAATTATTGACTAAATATTATATTATTGTTTGGAATTTAAAGTATCTCCATAAACAAATCTATGTATATATTAAAACGCAAAAGTGGAGCAACCTTTGGGCGGGAAGATGTAGGAATTGCTATAAAATGGTTAAGAAATGAATAAATGGGCCGTTGGAATTCCGATGCATTTGCCGTTAGAATAACAAATAGGATGAATAGTGAATAATAATGGTTGGGCAGCTCGCAATCATAACTATGCGGTTATACTTCTCCAGAAACTTCAACAAAGCTAGAAGTGTCTTTTAAAATTAAAATTTTCAAGAGTATATACATTGATTCCTATAGAGCCATTAATACAAATATACAAATAGTGCAACACAACTAAGAAAAAGTATAGCAAAAGGATGACGCACGAGATAAGTATCATCTATAATTTACTAAGTTCATGTGAAAATATAAAAAAGAATATCATTAAATCGTTGAATATAATAGAAATCTCTAACGTTCTTCTTTGTTCTAGGTTAAGTATTACTTCGTTGTTCTAATTTAATTTATAGTTGAACCTTGAGAGGTAAGATTTAAACCATATTAATTAAGTTGTAACATTGCACAAACATGATACAACAAAAAGTCATGTACACTGAATTACTAGAAATGAATAGTCATTAAAGATTTCTAAAATTTTAATATTCTTTCAATACATACAAAATTATAACATAAATATCTAAAAAGAAAAATAACAATATTTATATAAACACATACATTGAGCTATTTTAGGGACGCATGAATACATACTCAGGATATACAATTGTTGGTCTATAAAAGATATCTAATGGTATAGAAAAAATATAAATAATTCAAATACATTATTTTCGAACGGTCCGGTCCGGTATTTTTCGGTTCTCAAAATCTAGAACCGGTCCCGTACCCATTTCAAACGGTACGGTTTCGGTACGGGACAAAAATCTATAGAACCGTTAAAATACCCGGTATTCGGTTCGGTACCATTACGGGACGGTTCGGTACCGGTTCGGTTCGGGTTTTATGCCCACCCCTATCTATTGCAATCACCAATGCCCGAAATGTGGTTTCTCCATAGTGGCGCCTATATATTGATGAGTCGCGAGTCGGCAAGGTTCAATGCTCATTAGGAAATTTCACGTGCATATTGAGAATGCTTTATAGAACTCAATTTAAGTTTTCTGGATGCTACACGCCTATATATATTGAGAAGCAAAGCATTATCTCGATGGAGTTGGCAATTTCTGTTTTCTGGCTTCACTCTTTGCATGCTTGGTAGGTTTGCAATTAGACTAAAATCATAGACAGACAGGAAAATCTTTACACTTCAAAATATGTTTATTGTGTAAAATACACAACTTCAACTTACAACCAGTGTATAACTGCTTACAGGAACTCCTAGAAGAGATTCTATAAAATCATTGTTGGGTGTGTATTTCAGCTCAGGTCCCCAACCCAATACAACTCACACACACCACCCCAGGATGTTTAGCCACTCCACCACTCTCCAAGCTTAACCCCTCACACTTCTCTAGCTCCCACAGAAGGAAGCTTTACAAGAAGAAGAAAATCAGCCCACACACTCTCTGTTTTGGTACCTCACGAAGAAGACCAGGACTGATGGCCAGCTCTAGGTTCACTCATACACTCAATGTATTTGCTGCACACTCCAGGAAAAGGGGCTACACTCTGACTTATACAAGTCACAAGGCTTGAAGACAAAAGGATACAGGGAGGCACCAGACAAAGCAACAGATAGAAAACCAAGTGGCCAAAGGCCAGTTCAATAAGTGAGTAACCAGATACGTAGTAGGTTATTTGCCAGAGAGAAAAACATTAAGGGCTAAAGAGGAGTAGGGTTAAACTTAGGGTGCAGACCTTAACATAATAAGTGGAAGGGAGACCTTCGTAGGACCAATACCTCCAACAATCGTATTGTTTGCCGGGGTACATTCGATTCCCAAACCCATATAGATGGTGTATCAGGTTTTTAACAAGCTTAAAAGTGAGTTAACATCTTGTGCTTTTAATGATGATAAACGGGGCGGACAAAAAAGACTTCTTAATTATTTCAATTTTCAAACACAAATGAATGATTGTCACCAGTGGCGGATCTAGACTTTACATTTAGGGTGTTCGAAACTAAAGTAAAGTTAAAAGTATCACAATAATCATATCTAATGCTATAATTCAACAATTATATTTTTATCAATATAAAAACTAGGGTTGGGTTCGGTTTGGGTCCCGAACCAATTCAATATATCCCCGAACCGACCCCGTATTTCGATTCACCAATATACGACAACAGAAACCAAACCGTTATTATAAAAAAGGGTACCGATTTTTGGTACCCGATTTTTCGGTTCGGTTTACCCGAAACGTCCGGCTTATCCAAAACCGAAAGAAACCAACTAAATTTAATATATAGAACTTGAACTTAACATCTAAAAGCCCATTGGAACTTGCCGAATACTTGAGCCCCATAAGCCCAACGGCATTCATAGATACTTGAACATATCTTAGCCTTCACTACATAGAGATTTTTAGAGCAAGAAGCTATTCATTTACGGGTGTGGGAAAAGATAGAATGGGAAAGAAGAAACATTTTCAAAAACAAAAATTCCCACATCCTTGGGAATCGATCCCAAGGCTATCCTATAAGTATAGGCACAAGCCATCCAACTCCACTACTCAAGAACTTTGCTTAATACATACTCAGTTACATATTATACCTTATTGTGCGTCATTATTTAAAAAAAAATCAAATTTTTTGATTAATTTTTTTTGAAATTTTTGGGTGTTCAAGTGCATACCCTTGAACACTACACCATCCGCCCCTGATTGTCACATTCTGAACTTTTAAATCAAGACCACATATGGAGATTGGTTGGTTAGACATTCTGATTGTACGTCTGTTTTTGCAGCCTTGACTACATGAGCAATTAGCAAATACTACCTCCGTCCCACTAAGATTGGGACGGAAGAAGGTGACAGAATTATTAAGAAAACTGAGTTTGTGTGGTTGATATTAAATTGATAAAGTAAGAATAAAGTAAAAAAAGATTTAGAGCCACACAATCTTTACCAAATTTGGTATGAGACAATCTTAGTGGGGCTTCCCGAAAAGGTAAAATGAGACAATCTTAGCGGGACGGAGGGAGTACTCCGTATGTTAACCAGACCAGCAAGGCACTAAGACAGAGAGATAAACACATCAGAAATCGGCAGGGCATCAAGATTTAGGTTTATGCAGGGACGGATCCAGGATTCTGAGTCAAGGGGGGCGAAAGTTTTCGTTAGTGTAGGGGGTGATTTTTTTTTTGTTAGTGTAGCGGGGTGAAATTTTTTCGCTACTGTAGGGCTATGCGGCTATTTTTATTCAAAAAATGACATTAATACATGCACATCCCGAACGACATTTAAATCTATTACATTCTAAGTTTAGACGATGACAAAGACATCAACCAATACATTTTCAATAACTTCTACATTGTTTAACCTCATGAATCAATTATTGAATTGTAATTTTTGTTCACCAAGGAGAGTGTTCGTGAGTCATGACTCATGAGAAGTTTTCTTAATATTACAATAGTAGTATACTAGTATGTATGTGATTGTTATTTTTAGAATAATATGCACCACATACACACACACATATGGTGCATATTATATTTTAATATTTTTATTAATTCTATAATAATTTAGAGTTTATTATCCATGCAATAAATTATTTTTAGAAAGCAAGAAGTAAATGAATTATGTAATCTAATGTCTATAAATATTTATATTTTGGATTCATTTCACGTGATCTAAAAATTGTGTAATTAGTGTGTCTGGTATTTAATATTGTTTGATATATGTTTTACGAAATCCAGTACTTGTTATCTAATAAAGATAATTAAACATTACAAAACTAGGAATTCTTATATAATATGTACCCTAAATCTTAAATAACGAGTTACTCTATTGTTTATTTGTTTAAGTTATGTAAATT